AACATAACCACAGACACAGGAAATTCAGAGAATCATTAGATCTTACTACGAAAGTTTATATGCCACAAAGTTGGAAAATGTAAAAGAAATGGACATTTTTTTTAGATAAGTACCATATACCAAAGTTGAACCAAGACCAAGTGAACAATCTAAATAGACCTGTCAGTCATGAAGAATTAGAAGCTGTTATCAAAAATCTCCCTACCAAAAAAAGCCCAGGACCAGATGGTTTCAATGCAGAATTCTACCAGAACTTCCAGGAAGAGCTAATACCTATACTCCTTAATGTATTTCACAATATAGAAACAGAAGAATCATTGTCAAACTCTTTTTATGAAGCTACAGTTACCCTGATACCAAAACCACACAAAGACACATCCAAGAAAGAGAATTACAGACAAATCTCACTCATGAACATTGACGCAAAAATACTCAATAAAATACTGGCAAACCGAATCCAAGAACACATTAGAAAAATTATCCATTATGATCAAGTGGGCTTCATCCCAGAGATGCAGGGCTGGTTCAACATACGCAAATCTATCAATGTAATCCATCATATAAATAAACTGAAAGACAAAAACCATATGATCATTTCATTGGATGCTGAAAAAGCATTTGACAAAATTCAACACCCCTTTATGATAAAGGTGTTGGAGAGATTGGGTATACGAGGATCATACCTAAGTATAATAAAAGCAATATATAGCAAGCCGACGGCTAACATCAAATTGAACGGAGAGAAAGTCAAAGTCATTCCACTAAAATCAGGAACACGACAAGGCTGTCCACTCTCTCCATACCTCTTCAATATAGTGCTTGAAGTTCTAGCAATAGCAATAAGACAACATAAGGGGATCAAGGGGATTCAAATTGGAAAGGATGAAGTTAAACTTTCGTTATTTGCTGACGATATGATAGTGTACATAAGCGACCCCAAAAACTCTGCCAAAGAACTCCTAGAGTTGATAAACACCTTTAGTAATGTGGCAGGATACAAGGTCAGCTCCAAAAAATCGGTTGCCCTCCTATACACAAAGGATAAAGAAGCAGAGAGAGAAATCAGAGAAACATCACAGTTCATGATAGCCACAAATAGCATAAAATATCTTGGGGTAACTCTAACCAAGGAAGTGAAAGACCTATTTGACAAGAACTTTAAGTCCTCGAAGGAAGAGATTGAGGAGGATACCAGAAAATGGAAAGACCTCCCCTGCTCTTGGATTGGGAGAATCAACATAGTAAAAATGGCAATTCTACCAAAAGCAATCTATAGATTCAATGCAATTCCCATCAAAATCCCATCAAACTTCTTCACAGACCTTGAGAGAACAATAATCAAGTTTATATGGAAAAACAAAAAACCCAGGATAGCCAAAACAATCTTATACAATAAAGGAACTTCTGGAGGCTTTACCATACCTGACTTCAAACTCTATTACAGAGCAACAGTATTGAAAACAGCTTGGTGTTGGCATAAGAACAGAGAAGTCGACCTATGGAATTGAATAGAAGACCCGGGTATTAACCCACAAACTTATGAACACCTGATTTTCGACAAGGGAGCTAAAGGTATACAATGGAAGAAGGAAAGCATCTTTAACAAATGGTGTTGGCATAACTGGATGTCAACCTGTAGAAGAATGAAAATAGATCCATATCTATCACCATGCACAAAACTCAGGTCCAAATGGATTAAAGACATCAACATTAATACGACCACTTTGAACCTGATAGAAGAGAAAGTGGGAAGTAGTCTACAAGATATAGGCACAGGAGACCACTTCCTAAGCAGAACCCCAGGAGCATAGACAATAAGAGAATCAATGAATAAATGGGACCTCCTGAAACTGAGAAGCTTCTGTAAAGCAAAGGACACTGTCAGTAAGACAAAAAGGCTACCTTCGGACTGGGAGAAGATCTTCACAAACCCCTCATCAGACAAAGGTCTGATCTCCAAAATATACAAAGAACTCAAGAAACTAGACACTAAAACTCTAATTAACCCAATTAAAAAATGGGGTACTGAACTGAACAGAGAATTCACAACAGATGAACTTCGAATGGCCAAAAGGCACTTAAGGTCATGCTCAACCTCCTTAGCGATCAGGGAAATGCAAATCAAAACCACTTTGAGATACCATCTTACACCTGTCAGAATAGCTAAAGTCAAAAACACCAATGATAGCCTATGCTGGAGAGGATGTGGAATGAGGGGAACACTCATCCATTGTTGGTGGGAATGCAAACTTGTGCAGCCACTGTGGAAATAAGTGTGGCGGTTTCTCAGGAAACTGGGAGTCAACCTCCCTCAGGACCCAGCAATTCCACTCTTGGGAATATACCCAAGAGATGCCCTAACCTACTACAAAAGCATTTGTTCAACTATGTTCATAGAAGCACTATTTGTAATAGCCAGAACCTGGAAACAACCTAGGTGCCCCTCAATAGAAGAATGGTTAAAGAAGGTGTGGAACATATATACATTAGAGTTTTACTCAGTGGTAAAAAAAAACAATGACATCTTGAATTTTGCATGCAAATGGATGGAAATAGAAAACGCTTTACTGGGTGAGGTAACCCAGACCCAAAAAGAAGAAAATGGTATGTACTCACTCATAAGTGGATTCTAGCCATAGTTAAAGGTCTTTGAGCCTATTATTCGTGATCCTAGAGAAGCTAAATAGGAAGGTGAATATGAAGAATATGAAGAAATATGAAGAAAATCTTATAGTTATCCTCTTGGATACTGGAAGTAGATAAGATTTCCAGGCAAACTTGGGTGCAGGGGGTGGGGTGGGGGGGTGGAAGTAAGGGGAGATGATTAGAGAGAAGGGAGAGGGGGAGGATTGGGGATGGCTTGGGGGAATGGGAAGGGGGAGGAAGGATGGATATGGTACTTGGGAAGTATATATCTCAACTAAGGGAGCCATTTTAGGGTTTGCAAGAGTCTTGATTCTGGAGGGGTTCCCAGGCCCAAGGAGAGGTCCCCAGATTGTTCCCTGGGCAGCAGAGAAGAGCGTACCTGAACTGGCCCTGGTCCATAACCATACTGATGAATATTTTGTATATCACCATAGATCCTTCATCAGGCGATTGATGGAGATAGAGATAGAGACACACATTGGAACACTGGACTTAACTCCCTAGGTCCAAATGAGAAGCAGAAGGAGGGAGAACGTGAGCAAGAAAGGCAGGACTAGAGGGAACCTTCATCTGACAATAGATGGAGATAGAGACGGAGACCCACATTGGAGCACTGGACTGAGTCCCCAAGATCTAAATGAGGAGCAGAAGGAGAGAGATCATGAAAAAGGAAATCAGAACCGTGTGGGATGCGTTCACCCTCAGATACAAGGGGACTGATCGAATGAGAGCTCACCAAGGCCAGCTGGACTGGGACTGAACGAGCATGTGATCAAACCGGAGTCTCTAAATGTGACTGACATGGGGGCTGACTGAGAAGCCATTGTCAATGGCACTGGGTCTTGTTTTGTCTGCATGTACTAGCTTTCTGGGATCCTAGTCTGTTTGGATGCTCACCTTCCTAGACCTGGAGGGAGAGGGGAGGAATTTGAACTTCCCACAGGGCAGGAAACCCTGACTGCTCTTAGGACCAGAGAGGAAGGAAGGGAGGGAGTGGGGGGGGGGAGGAGGAGAGGGA